GGGGGGCCCCGCCAGTGGCAGCCCTGGCCATCATTGGCTGGAAATGGGGGCCATCCCTGCGTGTGGCCCGCCCCCTCTTTCCTTCTTTAACCCTTGGCCTCCTGGAGCTGGCTGCGCCAGTGTCTTCCGAAGGGGCTGCAGCAAAACTGGGCGTGTGGGGGCACAGCGTAGTTCCCATGCCCCTTTCCCCTAGGGACCTTGTCCCCTTCCTGTCTTTGAACTGCTGCTGCTGCTCGCCCTTGGCCCGTCTCAGCTGGACCACGCTGCCCTGCCCTTTCTGCGCGTCTGCGGGCGCGGGTGGCTCAGAGTGGCTCAGCGTGGGGGCCGACTGGGGTGTCCCAGGCTGGGAGCATCCAGGGTGAAAGCCCAGTGTGCCTGCATCCCTGATGCGTGCGCAGTGAGTGCTTGCAGACAGCAGGTGCTACAAAGTGTGGTCCTTAGTTTCCTTCTCCTCATGCACCATCCTGACTCTGGTGGGGCCACTGTCCCATTGCCAGGGACCCAAGGCATGCTTCCCGGCACAGCACGCTGGGGCTTGCCCAAGCTTTCCCAGAGCCTGCAACCCCAGACCAATCCACTTACCCTCCTCCTTCTGAACCCAGGTAAAAGCCCCCACCCCCACTCTCCTTGGTCCTTCCAGATACCACTCTCTAGGGCTGGACCCCAAAGTTTGCCCCTCAGGGATTCCTGACTCAGAGATCCTCCCCCTTTCACCCAGACCAGGCAAGGCCCCTGCTTCACAGATACCCCCCTCCCTCCACCCCAAGGGCAGTGGGCTGGGTTCTCAGCACACAGTGCAGGTGGGCATGGAGTGGGGGCTCCCCACTCACCTCTCTGCGATGGATTTGGTCCATGTGTGGGTGTCCCTGTTTATATCTCTGGGCCCTCGTCCTTGTACTGTCAGGGCTGAAAGTTGATTTCACTCATGCACAGAGAGCTTGCAAAGCCCAGAGGACCCCAGATGGGCTGTATTAAAAGACATGTGTGCGACATGTGTGTGAGATGTGAGCGTGCGTGTGCATACATGAATGCATGCTCCTCTGGGTGGGAGCTGGGCTCTGACAGGACCCGTTTCACTAAAGCGGAGCAAAAGAGCAGCCAGCTCAGCCCTCCTGACCCTCTCCTCACAAGGCAGGCATAGGGATGGCCTAGCATCTGTCTGCCTCTCCCCAGGAAGCTCCTCATCTCTTCACCCCACCTACCATGACCAGCTCCAGCGTACACCAGGGGCACCCCAGTCCTACTCTTTAACCCTGGCAGTGAGTGGGCTGAGGGCACTGCCAGCAGAGCGGCCTGTCTGTAGCTCCCCCAGACAGAGAGCCTAGGTTTTCTTGCCCCCTCCCCCCAGTCCCCTGCTCCTGGCTAGGACTGAAGAGGCTTATCTGGGGGAGTCTGGGCTGTTATAGAACATCTCAGGAATGGCCTTCATCCGAGGCCCGCACCAAATCGGGTGTCGCTGGCCTGGGAGAAGGTAGGGCCGCAGCTGCCCACTGCCCTGTGGCTGCCAAGATTGAGCCCTCAGTGTACGCTCCAGGGCCACCCCACAGCTACTTGGAGCTGGGGTTCAGCACTCTTGGAAGTCAGCATGCGTGAGAGTCATCTCCCCCGCCTTGGGACACTGCCTGCTGGGTGTTCCCTTTCAGCCCTTCCAGAAAGCACGCTAGGATGGCTGGAGAGATTGGGGGAGGGAGACCCCACCCACAGGAGGACAGAGCAGGAGCTGGAAGCGACTGACAACTTGGGGCTAGGGTGAAGCCAGCTTGGGGGTCAGGGCCTGTCATACAGGAGGGGAACTCTCAGATTTCCCCAATGTCCCAGTCCCCTGTTGATGAGAGCCCAGCTTCAGGTCTCAGGGCTCCCTGTTTGGAGCCATGGGATTTCTGGGAGTTGTCTGCCCGGGTGGGTGCCCACCTCATTTTCCCTCCCTGCCTGGCTTTACCCTGCATCCCCGGTTCTCAGAGCAGCCTCCCATGGTCCCTGGGCCCCCCGGGCCCCCCGGAGCTACCTGCGGCTGTCCCGATCTGTGGAGGCCTCCCCTGTGTGAAGGGCTCCTCTGTGGCTCCCGGCTCCAGCTCGTTGTCTCACCCAGGGCGC